CTTCTTTTAGTTCTTTAGTCTGTACCTAAAAGTGGAATTGCCAGATCATACAGCAGTTTTTGTTTAATCATTTAAGGAACCACCATATGGATTTCTATTTGTTTTGTTTTGTTTTGTGGTGCTGGGGATTGAACCCCAGGCCTTGCCCTTGCGCATGCTAGGCAGGTACAATACTGCAGAGCCACATCCCCACGCTTGCCATATGGCTTTCTATAGAGGCTAAGCTATTTTACATTCCTATCAGCAACATACCAAGGTTCCAGTTTTTTCCCATATACTTGCCAATAATTGTTTAGTTTTGTTATTGATGAACGGACATCTTAGATATGAATATAATCATAACTTTGGACCAAATTAATTATAAAAATTCAATATTATCCTTAGATTAAATTATAAGTTATCATAATTAGACTGTTTCAGAGCTTGTCAAGATAGCTATTCAAGAGCAGGGGTTGTGGCTCAGTGGTAGCTCACTTGCTTAGCATGCGTAAGGCACTGGGTTCGATTCTCAACACCACATACAAATAAATAAAATAAAGGTCCATCAACAACTAGAAAAAATTTTTTAAAAAGATACCTATTCAAAGTTGGTTTAGCTGGGCTGGGTATGTAGCTCAGTGGTAGAGTGTTTGCTTTGCATGTGAAAGTCTTGGATTTGAAGGCAGCACTGCAAGCAAGATAAAAATAAACCCAAAGTTTATTTAATATATGAGATAATCAGGCTCATATATTTCTGTGTCATACTGTCTTGAAACAACCTTTATCTAATTTTTTTTCTTTTTTCTTTTTTCTTTTTTTGGTAGTGGGGATTGAACCCAGTGGTATTTTACCACTGAGCTACATCTACAGCCCTGTTTATTCATTTTATTTAAAGACAGGGTTTCATTTATTGCTTAGGGTCTCACCAAGTTGCTGAGGCTGGTTTCGAATTTGCGATTCTTATGCCTCAGCCTCCTGAGTCTCTGAGATTATAGGCATTCACTTAGATGAGGCATTATGAGATTATTGGCATTTACTTAGGTGAGGCACTATGTCTCACCCTTTACCTGATTTTTGAAGCCAGCAAAACAGTAATATATACAGTATTCACAAATATGTCAGTTGTACTGCACTAGCATCTTTGTAAGTTGTCACTTTATTAGACTCTCCAGATTATTTTAATTTGAATTCATTTCCTGCTAGGACCCTGCTGAAATAGCTGCTTTATGTATTTTTAATTATCCTAATTAGTATTCCCAATAAACTCTAGTATTAGGCTAATCTGTTTTGGATAATAACTTAGTGCAGAACTACCTTTTTTTTCCCCTTGGACTTTGTGTTATCTAGGATACTGTTAAAGAAACAAAAAGTATTACATAATATTTAAGAGGCTAGTAAAAATAATAGTTTATTTAAACACAGACTCCTTTGCTTTAAGTTTCCCTTCCTTTCTCTAAAAGAGATTAGTGATTTGATTCTCTAATAAATAGATTATTAATGATCTTTGTTTAATCTCACACTGCTCATTGATCCATCTTTAGGGGAGGGACGCGTACATTTTAACATTCAAGTTATAGTCATTTGCCCTATCTACAGTGATTCTAAAAATGTTTGAAATCTTACTTTGGCTATATAAGATCTTTCTATACTGTATCAATTCAATTGATAAAGATTAGTGGCAGTTAATTATTGTGTAGTCATAAGCCTAGAAGACTCAGGCTTAAATACTGAGTTTGTATTAAATATAACCAATTTTTTTCATTTGAGTGACAATCTCAAAATTGCCAGTATTAACAGAGGTTAGAGCTGAATTAGTTGAAGGCTCAGTGGTAATTGGCTAGCATAGTTTCTCTTGAAGTGAATAAGCTCAATTCATGTCCTTTATTCTACTTCTGGTTTAATAATGTTGTTAATCACAAAACTCCTAAAGCCCAAGAAGTAAGATCAAGAATAAATAAATTGGATGGTATCAAACTAAAAAGCTTCTTCACAGCAAAGAAATCAATTAAGAACTTAAATAGAGAGCTACAGAAGGAGAAAATCTTTGCCATATGCACCTCAGTTAGAGCATTAATCTCTAGGTTATGTAAAGAACTCAAAAATCTTTTTTTTTTTTAAGAGAGAGAGAGAATTTTAATATTTATTTTTTAGTTTTCGGCGGACACAACATCTTTCTTTGAATGTGGTGCTGAGGATCGAACCCGGGCCGCACACATGCCAGGCGAGCTCAATACCGCTTGAGCCACATCCCCAGCCCTCAAAAATCTTAACACCAAAAAAAAAAAAAAAATGTCACAGAAGAAGAAATACGATTAGTCAACAAACATGAAAAAGTGTTCAACATCTCTGGCAATAAGAGAAATGCAGGGGCTGGGTTTGTGGCTCAGTGGTGGAACATGCTTGCCTAGCATGTGTGAGGCACCACATAAAAATAAACAAATAAATAAAGGTATTGTGTCCATCTACAACTAAAAAAATATTAAAAAAAAAAAAAAGAAATACAAATTAAAGCAACACTGAGATTTCATCTCACTCCAGTCAGAATTGCAATTATCAAGACTACAAGTAACAATAAATGTTGGTAAGGATGTGGGGAAACCGGTACATCCATATGTTGCTAGATACTGCAAATTGATGCAAACACTCTGGAAAGCAGTATGGAGATTCTTCATGAAACTTGGAATGGAACCACCATTTGACCCTGTTATCCCATTCCTTGGTATATACCCAGAGGACTTAAAATCAGCATACTGTAGTGATGCAGTCACATTAGTGTTTATAGCAGCTCAATTCACAACAGCTAAGTTATGGAACCAATTAGGTGAATGGTAAAGAAAACGTGGCATATATACACAATGGAATATTACTCAGCCAAAAGGAAGAATGAAATTATGGCATTTGCCAGTAAATGGATGGAATTGAAGATTATGTTAAGTGAAATAAGCCAATCCCCCAAAAAACAAAGGTTCAGCATTCTCCCTGATATGCTGATACTATCACACAATAAGGGTTGGAGGGAAGAATAGTAGAAGTTCATTGGTTTAGACAAAAGGGATTGAAGGGAAGGGAGTGGGAAGAGAAATAAGAAAGACAGTAGAATGAATGAGATATAACTTTCCTATGTTCATAATATGAATATATGACCAGTGAAATGCCACATCATGTTACAAGCACAAGAATGGGACCCCAGTTAGAATAAGTTACACTCCATATATGTATACACTCTACTGTCAAAATACACTCTACTGTCATGTATATCTAAAAATAACAAAAAAATTAGGTCAAATAAAAGATTATTGTTAATCTAACTTATAAATTATTGATCTTCATAGCAACTAGGAATTATTTGGAAACAGGATAAAGATTAAACTATATATAAAAAGCCTTAATTAATCTATAATAATAGCAAAAGAATTTGGACAGTGTACTAGCTTATTTCTGTGTTTTTCATACTCCTTTTATCAGAACTTCTACTTGTTTTGTTGAAATTTTAACTCCCAAGCTACTTCAAGAACTGTTCAGGGATCAGTATTATTATTTTTAAATATATATATTTTTTAGTTGTTGATGGACTTTATTGTCTTTATTTTTATGTGGGCTGAGGATCGAACCAGTGCCTCACACATGCTAGGCGAGCACGCTACCACTGAGCCACCAGGGATCAGTATTATTGATATCATCTGTAAATAAAATTCTCAGGCCACAGGCCAGATTGTTGAATTACAGACTACATTTTAGCATAAGATCCCTAGATGATAAGTATGCACGTTAGAATTTGAAAAGCACTCTAACCATTTTCTGGGATTGCATCTTGTTGGATTGCAAAAAAAATTGTTAGCCTGTACATTGGTGCATACCTATAATCCAGCTACTCTGGAGGCTCAGGCAGGACCACAAATTTGAGGCTAGTGTGAGTGATTTAGCAAGATCCCATCTCAAAGTAAAAAAGATCTGGGTTATAGCTAAGTGGTAGAGCACTAACTTAGTATGTGTGAGCCCCTGGGTTTGATCCCCAGTACTAGGGTTGGGAGGCACCAGAAATCAAAATTATAGAGTGTTAAAACAGGTCGTTTACTGATCATATAGTCACAGGTGAAAACTGACTACATTTGCAGATATCCTTTTTTATAAATACTGAGAAGTTAAAATCTAGATTAAAAAAAAAATTAATCACCATGTGTTCCCCTAATGTAAACACACCGAGATTTTTTTGTATTTTGTTTTATTTACATTGCTTCTTGGGTAGTTTTAGTTTATTCAGTGTAAACTTGGATACATTTCTGGTAATATAAAACTGGGTGCATTGTTTTATCAAGAATGTATCCCATGGAGTTCACTAGACCAAGAATATAAAGTGCATGACGAAGTCTAGAAGATGGAAATTACTCTCATGTGTATTAATGTTATAGAAGCTTCTATCCCACTCACATTTTCAGATTCTTTAGTATTAAATGTTACCATGGGAGCTATTTATTTGCATCATTTTTAGAGAGCTTTTTGAATTAAGGGAGAATAAATAAAGATACCAGGGATTACAGGAAAGTCTAATACAGCTGATGGATTTGTTGGTTTCCACAATATGTACATTTTCTATTAAAATCAAATTTTATAAGTTTAACTCAAAATGTTAGTTATGAGTTATCTATATAATAGGATTTGCCAAATAGCAACTAAGTTGTTATTAATTGTTTTACAGGCAAAAAACAGCCAGTCTTGGCTCTTATATCTTAGAGATGAAATATATGTTTCCAGGGAGGTGGTACTGGGGATTGAACCTAGTCTAGTGGTGCTCCACTACTGAACTACATTGCCAAACCTTTTTGAAAATTTTATTTTGAGACAGGGTCACACTAAGTTGCCCAGGCTGGCCCTGAATTCGAAATCCTCTTGCCTCAGCCTCCCAAGTTGCTGTAATAGGCATGGCCTATAATAATATATAATTATATATAATTCGGGTACTTACCTGAAATACAGTATATTTTAATCATGTGTAATATGTTTGTCCCTTCTTCTTCTTTCAGATTCATCAGGATTCATTTTTGATTTACAGTCTAACACTGTACTAGCCCAGGGAGGTACTTTTGAAAACATGAAAGAGAAGGTAAGACCAGTTATCATGGATAACAAAGTTAAACATTATAGGAAAATTTAGGTACTTATACAACCAGTGGCTATCACAACTTATTATGAAAGTGAAATTTTAGCAACAAAGGAGAATGCCATTATATATCAGAGGGTGACATAATGGTTCTGAGGAATTAGAGCCTATTAAATGCAAACACAGTTTTCTTGCATATCTTTGTATATATTCATTCTGAATTCTCTTGAAGACATTTGTTACTAATTAGTGTTATGATAAATATTATTTATATGACTAAGTCCAGGAGACTACAGAACAAGAACAGCAGTAAATTTTCTAAGTAGCATTCCTTTGGAAGAAAATATGTGTTTTTCATAATAAAGCCCCAAACAAGCTATATTTAAGAAAATATGAAACAAAAAGTTTTATGTGTTGTCTTTTTAAAAAAATTTATGTTGTTGATTATAGAGGGATAGACATACAGTGATTCACTGTTATAAATATATTCACATTTTATTTATTTTTTAAAAAGAAATTTTATTTATTTTTTAGGAGTAGATGGACACAACACAATGCCTTTATTTTTATGTGGTGCTGAGGATCGAACCTGGGTCCCGCCCGTGCTAGGCAAGCGCTATATCGCTGATCCACAATCCCAGCCCATATATTCACATTTTAAATTACCAGTGTCTTACCTTTTCACCGAATCTATAAGTTTCACCTACTGTTCATTTTTTAGGGATAAATGTTTAGTTCTTATTTATCTTAAAATATATATATTAGCCCACTTTGAATTATGAACTATATACTTTCACACTTGTGTGGTTTTTAAATTTTAACATTGTTAAATTAAGTCTGAAACAAAAAGAGCATGGTAACAATGGAGGGGAGAAAAAAATACTAAGACTTCTGTTGTAGTACAGATTCTGCTTATTAATGGGACAAGTTACTTTATTTCCTTAAGCCTTGGTCTTCATCTATAAAAGTCTTCCTTTTTGTGTGTGTGTGTGTGTGTGTGTGTTGGAGGAGTACCAGGGATTGACTTCAGGGGCACTCAACCACTGAGCCACATGCCCAGTCCTATTTTGTATTTTATTTAGATACAGGGACTCACTAAGTTACTTAGTGCCTCTCTCTTTCTGAAGCTGGCTTTGAACTCATGATCCTCCTGCCTCTGCCTCCTGAGCCACAGGGATTACAGGTGTGTGCCACCATGCCCAGCTAAAGGTGTTCCTTTTTGAGCAGTGTAACTAACTAGACAACCTGAAGACATTTCTGTCATAAGATACCTAGAAATACTGAATTTAAAAAATTCATGTATTATTTTAAATGACCACTGCAGGTTTGGCTACAAATCCATTGTGCTATCCATTACATCACAGTTACAGGTGTTATTTTAAATGTGTAACTGAACATAAGAAGTAAGGGATAGGGCTGGGGTTGTGGCTCAGGGTTGGAACACACGCCTAGCAAATGTGAGGCCCTGGGTTTGATCCTCAGCACCACATAACCAACTACAACTAAAAAATAAACATTAAAAAGCATTTAAAAAAAAGAAGTAAGGGATAGATGCCAAAAATATAGAGGGGTCTAAAAACAGAGTGGCAAGTCTAAACTGGGTACTCCCTGCCAGTCTAAGTAACAAATGGTATTTACCATAGAGGACCATAGCGCCCAGGATTTGTCCTGGTAAAGGATCAGAACAAGTTTTATGTAAGATTGGGACTTAAAAATATTTTACCTTTACAAAAAGAGTGAACTAAAGAATCTCCCACTGACATTCAAATACAGTATTTTTACAGTACATGTGTAGAGTGATAAAAACAATTGCAGGCTGGGGGTATAACTCAGTGGTATAGTGTTTTGACTAGCATTTGCAAGGCCTTGGATTTGATCCCCAGCACCACCAAAAAAAAAAAAAAAGTTACAAATTTTAAGTTTTATTCAATGGTTTTGTCATTAATAGTAATCTTTTGTATTGTTAGCAATGATATTGTGAATATTATATGATAAAACAAATTGGTAAATACTTTTATTTTTAGGATCTAAAATTTATGCATAAGAGAAAAGAGATCCAAGTTGAAAATCAGATGAGAAGCTGGGGGCAGTGGGGCATGCCTGTAATCCCCACTACTTGGGAGGCTCAGGCAAGGGGGACTAAAAGTCCAAGGCCAGCCTGGGCAGCATAGCAAGATTGACCCAGTCCAAGAAAAACAGAAAGAAAGAAAATCAAGCTAGATGCAGTGGTGCAGGCCTATAATCTCAGTGACTGGGAAGGCTGATGTAGAAGGGTCACAACTATGAGACCCTAAGGAACTTAGCAAAATAAAAAGTGGTGGGAAAATAATTCAGTGGTGAAGTGCCCCTGAATTCAGTCCCCAGGATCAAAAAAGAAAATAAGAAAAGCCCCCTCTCTCTCTCTCTCTCTCTCTCTCTCTCTCTCTCTCTCTCTCTCTCTCTCTCTCTCACACTCACACACACACACACACACACACACACACAGAATTGAACCTAGAGCTGTATATTGATACATACTAATACCATGGAGCTACAGTCCCAGCCCTTTTTACTTTTTGAGACAGGGTCTTGCTAAATTGCCAAGGCTGGCTTAGAACTTGATATCTTCCTTCCTCAGCCTCTGGAGTCACTGGAATTACAGGCATATAACTGTGCCTGTGAGAAAAGACCTTTTAATAGTACATTTTAATTGAGAATGTCAATGTACTCATGATTTAATAAAAAGTCTCCTAGCTATATCCCCTAAAAGAACTGGAAACAATGACTCCCAGTAAAAATAAACACATCTAGTTCCAGTTGGATTCTAATGACCATTTTCCATCAAAAGGAATTAGATCTTCTTTGAGAAGTAACCATTTATACATTATGCAGTAAGGTAAGAAATTAAAGTTATAAGAATTAGAAGAAGAAAAATGTTATTTATAGGCTATACAGTTAACATAGAGAAATCCAGGAAAGCAACAAATTAATGGGACTAACAAAAGTTCATCAAGGTTACTAAATAAAAATATATAAAAATGAAAACAATATGTAGTTATTACAAGGTATATATTTTTAATGTAAAAAAATATGAAATACCTTAGGAATAAATCTGACAAGTTGGCATATGTATTTGTTATCAAATGAAGTTGTAAATGCCAACTATTCAGGATTCTACTAGTGGTTATTTAATGTTTTTTCTTTATCTTTATTACAGTGTACTAAATATTGTTTTAGCCATTAAGGATTCAGCTGCAAATAAATATAGGAACGTACAATATAGCATTCTTTCCAGTAGCCAAACATTGAAAATAATGTGTTCATTGACTGAATGAATGAATGAATGAATTGTGTATACATTGGATGTACCATGTAGCAATAAAATAAGAAATTGATTTTTTTTTTTTTTTTTTTTACTAGGGATTGAACCCAGGGGCACCAAATTCAGGGTAGAAATCTGGGGAGAGAAGGGAAAAAGATTTCTTAGGTCATGGGGCTTCAATTGCATTTGTTTTATTTTATTAAACTTGGTGTCACCTCATGGTTGTTCATTATGTTTTGTATGCCTGACATAGTTTATAATAATTCATATTATTTCTATAAATTACCTTTGTTATTACACAGATAAGTGATACAAAGTAGAAATGTTTTGAACAATGCCACAAAGAAATTGTAATTGTTATGGTTTTGCTTTATTAAACTTTCTACCTTTCCCTACAGTATGCTAAAAATGATGAAACATGCTAAATAATATCTGATACCTAAATGAAACCACCTTTTCTTTTTGGTGGGTGTGTACCTGGAATTGAACCCAGGTATACTTAACCACTTAGCCACATCCCCAGCCCTTTTTTTATATTTCATTTAGAAACAGGGCCTCACTAAGTTGCTAAGACTGGCTTTGAGCTTTCAATCCTCCTGCCTAAGCCTCCTGAGTCACTGGAATTACAGGCATGCACCACCACACCTGGCTGTACCTTTTCTTAATATAAAAATCTTAATATAAAAGTACATGTCTTTTATTTTTAGAAATGTTCTGGGTTAGAAATGTAGCTCAGTGGTAGAGCACTTGCCTAGCATCCTAGCATGCATGAGGCTCTGGGTCTGATCTTCCCCACTTTTTTGATGCATTATAATTGTACATAAATGGTGGAGGGAGGTCTTAGGTTTGCTCACCAGTACTACCAAAATATAGTTCTGCTTTGGAGGGAGGGACAGGTACTGGGGATTGGATCCAGGGGTACTTTACCACTCAGGTACATCCCCAGCCATTTTTATTTTTTAAAAAATATTTTTATTAGTTATTGAGGGACCTTTGTTTGTTTGTTTATGGTGCTGAGAATTGAACCCAGTACCTCACATATGCTAGGCAAGCACTCTACCACTGAGCCACAACCCCAGCCCCCCCCTTTTTTTTTAGCTCCAAATTTTTTTTTCTTTTTTTTTTTTCCAGCCCCTTATTTTTTATTTTGAGATAAGGTCTCTCTGTGTTGCCCAGGCTGACCTTGAACTTGTGATCTTCCTGCCTTGACTTCCTCAGTTGATGGAATTATAGGCATGTGCCACTGCTCCCAGCAATGTTATACCTTTCTAAGTTTTGATATTAATTTTTCATGTGCTATTGTCATCATGTATTTATTATTCACAGTGAGATGGTTGCATGTATTTCCACTGACACTAAAGAGTGATAATATTGTTAAAAACGAAATGTCACTGTTATTCTCTATAATATGTGTCAGTTTCATAGTGACCTACTCATGTCAGAATTAAATGACTCTGTCTTCTTTTCTAGATAAATGCAGTGCGTGCAATAGTTCCCAATAAGAGCAACAATGAAATCATCCTGGTTTTGCAGCACTTTGATAATTGTGTGGACAAAACCGTACAAGCATTCATGGAAGGTAATTCTAGCCCAATTTTTTTTCTTATTAGTTTGTATTTGTTCAGTAGAAGTTACTTCAGACTTTTGGAACACAGCAATTTATAGTTTCATAGATGCTATAGCAGACCCCATGATAACATAACATACCATCACATTTTGTTAATGTAAGATGCCTTTTTCATCCCTAGAAATAATTTATACATAAGCTACAAGATATCTAGAATAAAAGATAAAGTAAGAAAACTCCATTATTCTATACAGATATTCTCCACTTTGAGAAACCACATCACTGGTTTCTAAAAACTTAGTCTCACATCATGGTGATTGCTATAAGGAACTTGATTAAAGTTAGGTGAAATTAGAATTTAAGATATTCAGGTGGGGATATGGCTCAGTGGTAGAGTGCTTGCCTAGCATACACGACGCTCTGGGTTCTGGCTTCTGTCCTCAGTACTGCAAAGGAAAAAAAGAAACAAAGAATTTAAGAGGCTCTTCCTAACAATGGAGTAATTCAGTGGCCCAGCAACATATGGCAAATTCCAGGACTTGGCATTCTTGGAAGCTCTATTATCATTTAGTTTGGCACAAGTAACTCAATTGGGTGGGTTGAATATCCTTATCTAACAGAAGAATGAATGGCAAGTGTGGTGGAGCCTTCAGATTCAGAGTTGAGGAGTGTTTCACAAACTTCTTTCCACTTAATTTATTTGAGAAGAACTTTACTTGAACCTGTTTCATCCTTGTATATCAGGTTAGGTTTATTAGAAATTTTAATAATAAAATTATTATTATTTTCCTGAATTTACAAGTGTATAAATAAATAGGTTCATATACTGAAAGGTTTTTCTTTTCTTTTCATGCTAAATGTTAATGTTAGCATTTGGGTCTGGTGTGGTGTGCAAGTCTCTTTCAAACAAAGTAGCCAAGGTAATGTGTAACCTGAGAGGAGGGGATGGCACACTTGGGCTAAGACCAGTTCATCTTTGTATACAGACTGAGGTATAGATAAAAGATTCTTATTTTTTTTTTCTTACTTTATTAAACCTTACTAGTGTTCTTTAAGGGACAAATACATAGACAAGTACAATACAATGAAGAAATCTTATTTTTATAAGAGAATTAAGAAGTCACTAAGGTATTTCCATATGCTATCTTCAATAATGCTTCTATGTTCATTCTGAGACTCCAGATAATATTTAGCCCCTTTGGCTACCATAAAAGCAGCAAATTCCCATATGAATCCTTTTACTTATGCACCAACAAAGGAAAGGGTGTGCAAAGCCACCCATGTATCACCAAACTTCTTTGCAGCCCCATGGATCCCTGAGCCCTTTTGCAGCCAGCTTTTCCAGTTTCTAACGGTGTCCCTTCTATCTTCCATTGTTTTATAAACTGGAAGTTCCAGTTTTCCATGACCATGTTCATGTTCATGTTCAGGAGCCATGTCTGTCTGTCTTTTTAATTTAATTTTATTAATTTTTTTATATATGACTGCAGAATACATACAATTCATATTATACATATAGAGCACAATTTTTCATATATATGCATACAAAGTATATTCATACCAATTCATGTCTTCATACATGTACTTTGGATAATGATATCCATCACATTCCACCATCATTTCCAACCCCATGCCCCCTCCCTTCTGCTCCCATGCCTCTACCATCTGAGCTATGTCCCCAGCCCAGCCATGTCTTTCTTTAGGTGACTCTTTTCAAATGCTGTATTAATGGTTTTGAATACACAAGATCACACATAACTTTTTCTGACAGCAGTTTGACTTCTCATAACACTCAGTAGTCAACCATGAAAAAAGATTCTTCATCAGAAGAATGTTGGTACACGCTTGAAATCCCAGCTACTTGGGAGCTTGTGGCAGGAGAATTGAAAGTTCAAGGCCAACCTTGGCAATTTAGTGAAACCCTGTCTCAAAATAAAATAAATAAAAAGCCGGATATGGAGTGCTTGCCTAGCATGTGGGAGGCCCTGAATTCAATCCCCAGTACTGAGGGGAGGAAAAAAAGCATCTTCAAAATGGCCAGGCTGCATTAGTCTCTTCTTGGAAGAACTCACTGGGGAAATTTAATTACATGTAAAAGGATATCCAAATAGGCAGGTATTCCAAAAGGGAAGCATGACATGATCTCATATTATATTACTTTAGAGATTTAATCCTTAACTCTTATTATTAGGCACTTTGGAAATTCTCCAGTAATTATAAAATATAGGGACATTAATTCTTGATTAACTGTGTATGTGGAGAGAAAATCTCTAATTGGTTTCTTTTACAGGTAGTGCCAGTGAAGTACTCAAAGAATGGACAGTAACAGGCAAGAAAAAGGTAAAAATGAATTAAATTTTAAGAGCATGATATTGATGTTTATATTATTTTTAAAAATTTAATCTCTGCAGATATTTGAAAGAAAAGGTTTACATAAATATCTTCAGTTTAGCTGGTTGAAAAAAATCTTTGATATTGAGATACAACTGTGTCTCACAGAGTACCCCAGTTCCCTCCCTATAAATGAAGGTAAGAAACAGTGCCTTTGCCATAGTGCACTTGCCAAGAGGATACTAGACAGGGAGTAAAGCAGGAGAGCATATGGAGGAAGCAGAACTCCTCCAGAGAAAGTGTTCTGGTTTTCAACTGTACATATCATAGATCAGCTAAAATAGTTGAGTTTTAATCCCTAATATTAATGAACTAACTTTAAGTCTATAGAAGACTCTTACTACCATAGCTGTTGGGTACTTTTCAAAGGGGTCTGATGTTGCAATTTAGAGAATTAGAAGGCACTTGGGATATGGGGTCATTCAGCACTGGATTTTTATCCTGTTCCATTCTATCCTGGCTTTGTGATCTAGGAATATTGTAATCTTTGTGTGCCTTAGTTTGCTCATCTCTAAAGTAGGGAAAGCAATACTAATACATACAAGTATTTAATATAATGCCTAACCTAGTAGTTCTTGATCCCTTCTCCTTATCCTTAAAATCAAAGTGCTTCTCCAAGGAATACCAGCTGTTCTCAAAATCTTTCCCATAACTCTGTACCTTCAATCTAGTGCCTTTCAGAAATGCTTGAGAGGCTGGGGTTGTGGCTTAGCGGTAGAGCACTCGCCTAGCACTTGCGAGGCGCTGGGTTCGATCCTCAGCACCACATAACAATAAAAAAAAAATAAAGGTACTGTGTCCAACTACAACTAAAAAATATTTTTTAAAAAAGAAATGCCTGAAGTATGGATTTTAATCTCTATGAAATCTGTTTAGGGTGTTCTTTTCTTATATTAGGTTAATGCTGGAGTTTTGAAATGCAACTGTGATGACTCTAAATCACTTCATTAGGAGTTCTATCAGGTCTTGACCAAATCAGGCTGGTCTCAGTGATCCTTAAGAATTTTTCCAGAGGTACCTAATATTATTACAGACTGTCCTGAAGCTTTTCATGCCTATAGCTTTGCATATTCGTTTAACTTCTTCCCATTGCTTTCACCCAACCTAGAATAGTTATGAGTATTCTGAAAAACACTAGTATCTTAATTTATTGGCCCAGGGTTATATAGTTATTTTTTACATGGAACAGTAATATGAAAACTTAGCTAATTTACATGGGAGAAAATATTTAAGAGCAAGACGAGAGCTATGCAGAGAAGAAAATTGTATCTTGAGTTCAGGTGTGCTCCTGCCAGAGAGGACCACCAAAAAAACTTGGGGGAAAATTGATTCAGTTATATCCATCTAGCCTTAGGAATTTTAAGTTTTGTCAGCAGAGCTGTGGTTTGACAAAACAAAAGTAAAGGACTTATTTGTTTAAATTTTACTGTTTTCATAGGTAATATAGTCAGCTAAAAATTCAAATGTACAAAAGTTAATGCACATAACTAACTTTATCACATCCCTGTTCTCCAGCCATTTGGTTTTCTACCCCAGAGGCAAACAGTATTATCAATTTCTTATGTATCTTCCAGTATATTTTTATGCATATAAACAGATATGAACATGTATTCTCCTCTTTGTTCCTTTTTCTCATGTAATAGATCTTGGAATTTACTCCATGTCTCAATAATGAACTTTTTTGTTGTTTTTTGTGGATATATAGTCATCCTGCTATTTGGATGTATCATAATTTATTTAACTAGTCCCTTTTAGACCAACATTTGGGTTGTTTCCAGTCCTTTAACAAGGTAATAATTAACTATTAATTTAGTAGCTATCATTAACAGTTCTGCAGTAAATAACCTGGTGTGTCTATGTAATTTTGTACATGTTAGTCTCACCTATAAATTCCTAGAGGTAGAATTGCTGGCCAAAAGATATGTACATTTGTAAGTTGGACAAGTATTATTAGATTGATGCTCCCAGTAATAATATATAAAAGTGATTGCTTCTCTATACATTCAACCCTACAGTGTTATCATATTTTTTGACCTTTGCTAATCTAACAGATAAAAAATTATTTTACAGTATATAGTTTTAGTTTATATTATTTAAACTAAGGCTATGCTTCATTTAGTATGTTTATAGCTTATGCCATTTTTTTTTCTATTGGGTTATTATTTTGTTTTTGCTTTTTGTTAGAGCTCTGTATTTATTTAACTCTTTGAGTATAAGTCAGACATGTTTTTTCCACACTTTGTAATTTATCTTTTTCTTTTGCTTAAGGTAGGTTTTGCCGTAAAGAAATGTTTTGTTTGAGTTTATCCAAAATATAGGATTTTTCATAGGAAAAAAATATTTTATGTGGTGATTCAACATATTCAAAAATTTGTTCTGGAAGAACATAGGAAAAAATTGGTAACATTGGTTGCCTTTAGGTAGATAGAGTTTCTTACCTTTTTGGATTGTACTGGTGGTGGTGGGGCTCTGCCTTTTCTTTTCTGTTTTTCAAATCTTCAATAACCTTAGAACAAAAAGAAGAAAAGCAAACCAAAACCTACAGCAGAAGCAAGTAACAGTATCCCAGATTCCAGTAAATTGGTTTCCATTCAAGAGGAGCAGTCTGTGCCTTCCTCAGGAAAAGGTGGCATTAATGGTTACCATGTCAATGGTGCCATCAATGATGCATTGTCTGTGGACTCACTCAGTGAAGGTTTGGAGACACTTTCAGTAGATGCCAGAGAACTAGAAGATCCAGAGTCTGGCTCGCCAGATACGCTGGATAGAACAGGTGAGTTTATTAACGTTTTTTTGAAAAGTTGCGTTCAGTTAAAAAATATAGGAACCTCCTGGTTGAGAAAGCAATCATTAAATCTGATAGGTCTTTTGCTTTTTAGTTTTTGTTATCTTTTGTGTGGAGGTCACATTTTGTCATTATCAAAGGCCTAGAAACATAAAATTTTGTTACCTTTCTCATATTTTAACTCTGTTCTGAATCAATCTTATAAAATTTTCTAATAGCAAAGGAGTACCTTTGAAATGTTTTGTTTGAGTTTATCCAAAATATAGGATTTTTCATAGAGACAGCAGAAGTTGACTTTAAAATCTTTTTAAAAATTGTAGACTTTAAGGAAAATGAGGATGAGATGATGATTATGGTGATGTTATTCTAAGACACAACACAGTAAGGAATATATAATATTAATGATCATCCTAGCTTTCATGAAAACTAGACTTGGTTTTTATAGGCCCACATTTATTTTTTAGTAAAGATTAGTGATAGATGGTAAATGCACTTATCTTGTACATTTCTTTGTTAACCATTTTGTTGAGAGCTGGAAAGATACTGGGAATCTTTCTCTTAAAAATTACTTATTTGTTAATCCAATTCCCCCTACCTTGCTGCTCCTAGCTTTATAATGTAATGTCAGTATAAAAATTACACTGTACTAGACAGGCGCAGTGGCACAGGCTTATAATCACAATGACTTAGGAGGCTCAGACAAGAGGATCACAAAATTTGAGGGTCAGCTTCAGCAACAACCCTGTCTCAAAATAAAAAAAACAAAAACAAAAAAGAATTATGCTGTGCTTTTAAATGTTCTTTTATTGATTAACACACACACACCTAGAGAAAAAATATCGTACCTACATTGACCTGAAACAAACCAAAGATAGCCAATGACTTCCATTTTTTTTTTCTGAGCTAGTTTTCTTCTCATTTCTTATTTCCACCCTTTCTCTATTTTCTAAAGCTTTTAAATTCTTTCCCTGAAACAATGTAAAACTTTTTCCCCCCTATAGTGCAACTTTCAGAAGCTAGTAGAAGTTGGAGATACTATCTCTCCATTTGCTAGTGCCAAAACTACAAGGAAGCTAGGAAGCCATAAGGCACACACTCCCTGTCTAAATGGATTGGCTATAGCTTCTTTTTTTCATGTAGGGTATCTCTTAGGACTAAGCCAGAAGCTACTGATAGCCACACTCATCTTTGTTCTATTTTGTCAGTTGATTTGTTCATAGATTTTGAAAGAGGTATGGTTTTGCCTAAAACATTTTTTACCTGTTTTCTTTGTGTATTTAAGACTGGTTGATTGATGTACCTGTACATTGTGCTCTCTTTCTTGGATAGGATCTGTACTGGAGAATGGTGTCTCTGACTTTGAGCCCAGGTCTTCGGCTGTACACCCTATTCAGAATGCCCAACATTCCAAGAATGCTACCAAATCTCTCTCAAGATCCACCAAAGGACCTCAGTTTTCCAGTCTGGGAATGGAGGACGTTCCACTCTCCTCCACCAATAAAAAGCTTGGTAAATCAAAGGTTCACTTGTGAGAAGTGAAACATCTGTTTTTGGCTAAAGAGAGCAAATTACCTTTGTTCCCATAGGTAAAGTTTCAGAAGTGCATCAGTCTTAACTATTTGGGAGGCTGAGGCAGGAGGATCAGAAGTTTGAGCCCAGCCTGAGCAACTTAGGGAGACCTGTTTTAAAATAAAATTTTGAAAAAGGACTGGGGATGCTACACAGCTCAGTAGTAGAGCACTTGCCTAGGATGTGCAAGATCATAGGTTCGATTCTCAGTATTGAAAAAAAAAAAAAAAAAAAGGTAGTGGGTTGGACATCCGGTAATACTTTTTCTATTTTTCAGGCTCTAATTACCCAACTCTTCCTACCTCCACGTACATAGTGTCTGAAAGTAGTTCAGATACTGTATACGGTTGTTCAAATAACAGAATCCTTTTTGTGAATTACAGCCAAACTCTACTGCCAGAATGACTTAGCTAACATTAACCTGTTTCCTTTCTTTGCTTTACTGCAGTGTTTTTGTGCACTTTTTTTTCATTTTATCTCCTAGTTGACTTAACAAGTAAAAAAAAAATCTCTTCTATCTCTGACATGACATTTCAAAGAAATATTTTCACAACTTCATGTTCTTACTGATACCTGACAGACTCTGGCTTTTAACAAGATTATTATCTCTGAAGTACTTAGCATGAATTAGTTGGTCATAGCTCTTTGCTTTAATAATAATAATAATAATTTAAATAAACAATCACCATTTGACCCAGCTATCCCTCTCCTTGGTCTATACCCAAAGGACTTAAAAACAGCATACTACAGGGACACAGCCATATCAATGTTAATAGCAGCATGATTCACAATAGCTAAACTGTGGAACAAACCTAGGTGCCCTTCAATAGATGAATGGATTAAAAAATGTGGCATATATACACAATGGAATATTACTTAGCAATAAAAGAGAATAAAATCATGGCATTTGCAAGTAAATGGATAGTTAGAGAAGATAATGCTAAGTGAAGTTAGCCAATCCCCAAAAACCAAATGCCGAATGTTTTCTTTGATATAAGAAGGCTGATTCATACTGAGATAGGGAGAGGGAGCATGGGAGGAATAGAAAAAACTCTAGATAGGGCAGAGGGTGGAAGGGTAAGGGAGGGGGCATTGGGTTATTAATGATGGTGGAATGTGGTGATCATTATTATTCAAAGTACAGGTATGAAGACACGAATTGATGTGAATATATTGTATATACAACCAGAGATATGAAAAATTGTGCTCTATGTGTGTAATAAGAATTGTAATGCATTCCACTGTCATATATAAATAAAAAATTTTTAAAAACTTAAAAAATAATTAAACAAACAGCCAGTAATTTTTAAAGAAGAGAGATAATAGCCCTTCTGAGTTTCATACATCTAAGCAGGATAGTTCACTCCAGTGAACATATGAAACAAATATAAAGGACACTTGTAACTTGTAGCTCCTATTGAGTCATTTATTCCACATGAGCTAAATTTTACTTAGTAATACTCTCCTTTTTCATCTTTGTAGTACCCCTCAACTTTCTGCAGAACAAGAAGTCTGAGAATATCCAGTTAAGCAAAAATAAAAAGGTTTATAGGCATAGGGCATAAAAACTTTTAGGTAGATTCTAAAAGAAATCAAGTTGACTGGGCATAGTAGTGAATGCCTGTAATCCCAGTGATTTATGAAGCTGAGGAAGATGATCTCAAATTCAAAAAGCCAGCCTCAGCAATTTAGCAAGGCCCTTAAGCAACTTAGCCAGACCCTGTCTTAAAAAATAGTAAGGGCTAGGGATGTGACTCAGTGGTTAAGTGCTCCTGTGTTAATTCCTTTGTTCCAAAAAAAAAAAAAAATCCATACAATATAGATATGTACATACATAAAAAATAAAAGAAATAAAGATGAAATGAGGAAGAATTTAAATCTAGAAATTTAAGTTGGGCAAGATAGTGGGAGCCCTAGTCCCATCTACTCAGGAAGCTGAGGCAGGAGGATCACTTGAACCTAGGCATTTAGGGCCCGCCTAAGCAACACAAGACTCTAAAAATTAATTTAGAAGTTACAAATGTGTGTCTTGTCACAATTATAATCTTCTTAGACCCATGATTCTTTTAATGAGCTATATGTATAACTTTGACATCAGCAGATAGAAAGGTTAATAGGATTCTTGGAAACTATCTGAAATATGTTAGGTAAATAAATATATTTTATCTTTTTCTACAAAGTTGGGCTTGCCCACTATGTTAGTCAGATTTTTGTCACTGTGACAAAATACCTGAGAAAATCAACTTAGAGGAGGAAAGATTTATTTTTGCTCATGGTTTCATTCTATAATTAGCTGGATCCATTGCTATGGGCCTTTGGTGAGGCAGAGCATCATGGCAGAAAGAGTGTGGTAGAGCAAATACGCTATCTCATGGTGGCCCAGAAACAGGGGCTTGGGGATAAAAGATAGTCCCCAAGGGTCCCCCAAAATGACTAACTAGGTTCCACCTCCTGAGTTTTCACATCATTCCAGTAGTCCATTCAGCTGTGACTCTATCAATGGATTGATGCATTAATGCGATTAGAACCCAGATGGTATAATCACTTCCCCCAAGGCCCCACCTCTGAGCATTGCTGCTGAGCATAGTTTAGGACCAAATTTTCAATTCAAGAGCCTTCAGGGGACATTGCAGATCTAATCCATAACACCCACATGTAATGCTTCAAACTATACTATAGAAAGAGAACTTTTTAAATTTTGTAATTTTCATATGGTAAATTTTTCTATTAATCCTGTCATTTGAGAAGTTTTGAAAATTTGGTACTTACTTAATAGGTTGCTTTTTTCTTTTCTCCCTAAGTTTTGTTTTGTTTTGAGTAGTTCTAGTTTGCTGTTAATATAGTCTTGTTTTTCATCCCAGAATTTGTTTTGTTTTTGTTTATGTTTTTGGTCTGCAGAAGTTCACTTGAGGTCTTGTAAAATTATATCTTCTAGTCTGGTGCTGTGGTATACTCTTGTAATCCCAACTACTTGGGAGGCTGAGGTAGGAGGATTGCAAGTTCAAGGCCAACCTTGGCAACTTGTGAAACCCTGTCTCAAAATAAATAAGTCAGCCACAATGGCACATGCCTGTAATTCTAGCTACTCAGGAGACTGAGGCAGGAGGATCCCAAGTTTAAGGCCAGCCTGGGCAATTTAGCAAAACCAAATAAAAACTTTTGTATCGCTGATTATTATGCTATGCTGTCCTCTACCTTCTTGAATGTATGGTATTAGATTATAAAAGATTTTAAAAGCTGTTTGATGTTCTTTTCTACCTCATTCTAACTTCTGTATTATTCTATCTTCTGTTTTATTTTTCTTTTCATTATGGGCCATATTTTTCTATACTTCTTTTTTCTTGTGTTTGTGTTTTTCTATTTTATGTCTTATTTATATAACTGATCATTTTTATCAGATGCCAGTTATTGCATATTCTGCTTTATTAATTTTGGTACTGGGGATTGAACCCAGGGGCACTTTGCCACTAAGCTACATCCCCAGCCCTTTCTGTTTTTTTATTTAATGTTTGAGATAGGGCCTCACTAAGTTGCTGAGGCTGGTTTTGAATTTTGTGATCCTCCTGCTTCAGCCTCCCAAAGTGCTGGGATTAGAGATATATACCACCACACATCCTTGTGATTTGTTAAGGGACTCAGTTTTGTGAAAAACAGTTTGAGGCTTGCTTTTAAATTTTGTTAGATGGGATGGACTTAGAGCAGCAGCTTCTAGTTTACAGCTAATTTTGCTTCATTACTGGGGCAATACCCTTCTAAGTATTCTACCTGGTCCCCTATAAACTGTGAGATTTTTTTTCACTCTGGCTAGTGTGACACAAACCATTCCTGGCCTGGATGAGTTCAGGGAATTATCTGCCTGCTTCTTTGCAGTGGTCGTCTTCCTTGTCTTGGTAATTTCCTCACACCTATGCACTGATTAATATTCAGAGTTCTCTGTAGATCACTGTTCAGCTCTCTGAATTTTGTGTGGATCTCTCCAGGACTGTATCCTAAGAATTCTAGCCACCTTGGCTTCCCTAAATTCTCAATTCAGAATTGTCCTCTCAATTCCAGTGTGTTTAGGATTTCTGTTCACTGCACTGTAACCTAGGAATTCTCAAGTTGGTATATCGGGGCACCATAGTCCCTACTTAATTCATCTCTACTTTTTCAGGGAGAAAGCACTACCTGTTTTTCATTGTCTGAAAACCACTGTTTCATATATTGTGTCTGTTTGTGAATGTTAACTTTTTAGGATTGGAGGATAAATCCAGTTCTTATTACTTTATCTTGACCAGAATACTTATTTTTTCAAAAATTATGAAATATCATTCTATCTTCTGTATTATTCTGTGTTGTTGGGAGGGTGATCATTTAGGAAACATTATTCTTCTCTATGACATTTGCCTTAGGTGCTCAGATTCAACTTTTAAATTAACTTATGTTCTTTTTAAAAATATTCTTTGGGTTTTTTCCCTCAGGTTCCAATATTGAAAAATCTGTAAAAGACCTCCAGCGCTGCACAGTATCTCTTGCACGGTATCGAGTTGTAGTTAAAGAAGAAATGGATGCTTCCATTAAGAAAATGAAACAAGCTTTTGCTGAATTGCAGAGCTGGTAAGTTAAGTTGCATTTTATATTATTAGCACAGGCCAGGCACAGTGAGTGGCACATGCCTGTAATCCCAGCAATTTGGGAGAATGAGTCAGGGGAATCACAAGTTCAAGGCCAACCTCAACAGTTTAGTGAGACCCTGTTTCCAAATAAAAAATTAAAAGGACTGGTGATGTAGCTCAGTAATAGAGTTCCCCTGGGTTCAATCCCCAGTACTCAGCACTATTAAAAGAGAGAGAGAGGGAATTGACATAAAAGAATGATCATTTGTAAAAATGGTTAGCTACTTACTAGGGTCTTTAATCCTCGACTATTCCACATAGTAGGGAGAGGATTATAAAAGTCTTATAGTATATTTACCTTTTTGCTTTGTCCTTTTGAACACAATATGCTCTAGAAATGGGCCTGAAGTTAATATTGTTTGGAAAGAGACAAATAATTAGAGAGTAAATCATGCACTCTTGCTTTAAGGTCTGTCTTTTAAACTGGTAGTGTAACAAATGACCTGATATTCAAACAAAATTATAAAGTAGAAAAGCTCTTTGTTTTCTTACCTCCTTTCATCCTTCATGATGCACCTTAGCCCAACAATCTCTTCTATGACCTATTATTAATCATTGATTTGCTTTTCATTCTGTGTTTTTCAAACTATGTTCTGTAGAATAGTCATTCTTATAATACCTTAATATGTTTTCTGTCAGGGAAACCAGGTTTGGTAGTTAAAGAGGTTTGAAAATACTTTTTAAAAAATATTACTATATTGGCCTTCTTACTGCCTTTTGAATGCTAATGTATGTTGTGAATTATGCTGTTTATTGAACATATTTGATTATAGGGACTGGGAAATAATAGCTCAGTGGTAGAGCTTGCCTGGCATACATGAGCCCTGGGTTCAATCCCCAGCACCACACACTCACATTCACACTCACAAAATCAAGTATGTTTAATTATAGACTCTCTTGGGGGGAATATATGCTAACGTCTCCTAGAATCCTAGAATACCAAAGCTGTTTTAACTATTAGACAGTATATATTTAAATCATAGCTCCCTTCTGGGGGTATTTAAGAGGGATTTTTTTTTAAATAAAAAAAACTTTAGGACCAGATTAATCAAAATGACAGCAGTTGGGAAGACAAGCTGTTGGACTTATTTAAGAATGTAGGTGTCCATTCTGTTTATTGGTTAAAGAAGAAGAAGAAGAAGAAGAAAAACACCCACCTAGATCTGAAACAAGAATGGATGTGCTTGTGAATAGAAAGTCCCACTCTTTCTCCCAACTATCCATTCATTTTCTTGCTGCTTGTCTAGAGCCTGTTTCCTTAGGCCATGCACAACCATGTCTGTGTTCATAGACTTGGTCTAGTTGCTATGTACCATATAGCAAACAAGAAAGGAAGAATGGGGGTCCCCTTGGTCTTTCTGGTGCCTGGAATTGAAAGAGTGAAAAATGAAGATGAAATCAACCTCCAAAATGTTAAATCATCATAAATTAAAGGTACTTTTTAGGATAATTTGTCTAATAGTCTACTCATGCCTAGCCCTGAACCCTGAGTTTTGCCTTTCAGGTTTTATATTTAGGAGCTCAGTGTCATGTCTTGTATTTGTCTTTCTGTGCTCCCCCCTCCCCCCAGTATTAGGCATTGAATCTAGGGGCACTTTACCACTGAACTACATCTGCAGTTGTTTATATTTTATTTTTGAGGTTAGCTCAGGCTGGCCTTGAATTTGGAATCCTCCTACCTCAGACTCCCAAGTTGCTGGGTTACAGGCATGTGCCATTGCACCTGGCCCTTTTGTTTTACTTAACATTTACCTTTCCTCTTCCATGTATTAGTTTTCTGGCTTGATATGTTCTATATCTCTATATTTATCTTAATCCAACCAGTTCTCCAAAATTCTCCTGAAATTAAGCTCTAACTTCTGGAAATTTTACTAGGTAATTAATTTATCCTCTTTCTGAATTTCTGGAAGGGAGCACCATGTGCGTTATACTGGATTCTTGTTGAATCAGATACTGTAGGTGTATTTGGAAAATAAAGAACTAAGTGTAGATCATCAAAACTTTACCTTGATAGGCCTGTGGACCACATGATTGTTCAGTTTACTGATTACTTAGCTACAGGATCTGATTCCATTCAGAACAAGCCTGAACCAGGAAACACGGTTCCGGGAGAGAGATTTGTGAGTTCCTGCTGAGTTGGAACCCAGCCACCTGGGTAAATGACAAATGAAATGGTTTCCTACCTGAGACCTGTGTGTTTAGTATTGATTAGCAAGCGTAACAACCAGGTCAATTTAACTTGAGGAAAGAGATTACCTGCTCTTTCCTGCTGATGGGAAGCCCTTCTCTCTGGCTGATTGTTTTTTTTTTTTTAACTCCTTATGTCAATGTTCCTTGTAGTTGCTACTTCAAGCCATAATTGACAGGTGAGCTGACTCCATTTGGCACCAAACCAGAGCTTGGAGTTAATGTCACTTAGAAAGTTGATTACAGTATGAAAGAAAAGCAAAGAGTTCTAACAGATTTGCAGCAGTAAGATTACTTACCCCTTACAGGACACAAGAGAAGTGATATGGATGACTCCTTTCACTTTGATGCCAAATAAAAGCTGACCCATAGCTGAGGAAGGTAAAATCAGAAACTTTACAATATATAAAACATAAGATCTGTTCTTATTGGTGACTTAGTTATCTCTAGACCCCAAGTTTTACTTTTCTTATTAATAAAATTTGTCTCCTTTACGTTGTTAGAGCTGTTATTGACTTCAGTTTAAGGCTGTTAAGGAGGCAGAAAATGAAGTAGTACATGAAGTTGCAGTATAATCAAACTACTTTGGAAGGTTCTCATACAGTATGTTACTAAAAAATGAGAACAGTGAACACTCAGCTTCCCTTTTTATAAAAGTTACAATTTTATGAAAAATATTTATTGAAAGGAGAAATTATTAAGAGAAAAAGACCATCAGGAAATCTGAGATTAGGGACTGGGGATGAGCTCATTGGTAGAATACTTTCCTAGCTTATATGAGGGCTGGGTTTGATACCCAGCACCAAAAAAAAAAAAAAAAAAAAAAATTGAGATTATGCATACTTAAAATCATGATATAAGTCTGCAGTTAAGATTCTGAAAATTTTTGTAGCTGATTCCTTACTGACTTTAGAAATGTTACTTTTATTTGAGTTTCCATTTTCTTCTTATGTTAAATCAAGCTATTGTTAGTTTTACCAAAGGCTTTTAAGTTCTTAAATTTGAAGGCCATATAGGCCTGGGCATGGTAGTGCACAACCATAATCCCAGTGACTTGGGAAGCTGAAGCAGGGGGATCAGACTCACAATCTAGTGAGACCCTGTCTCAAAATAAAAAATAGAAATGGCTGGAGATGTAGCTCAGTTAAGTGCCCCTGGGTTCAATCCCCAGTACTTCAAAAAGTTAAAAAAAATAAAAATAAAGGCCATAATAGAGATGCTGAAAACTTAGAAATCATTTTAGGAACCAAAGTACCTCCAAAAATATCTAAAAATCTTAGAAATAAAGGAATGTGGTAATATAACATTTAAAATGTACTTAGTATTGTCAGGGATGGTGGCACATGCCTGTAATCCCAGCACCTTAGGAGGCTGAGGCAGGATGATTGCACTTTAGTAAGATCCTGTCTCAAAATAAAAATAAAATAAAAAGGACTGAGTTTGTAGCTCAATGGTGAAGTGCCCCTGGGTATATTCCCCAATATAATAAATAAATTATTAAAATAGAATGTACATAGTACTACCCTGTAAATTTCTTTTGATCACCAGTTAGTCAAGAAACAAAACTTTAAAATGGTCACTAATCATTCTTACAGGGGGAGAAAATGCTGTCAAAATGTATGAACTGATATTGCCACATACACAAAAAAAGTATGATTGCATTGATTAAAACTTAAATTCCTTTCAAAAAGTATCACGTGGTGTTCTGCCTTTCGTAATAAAGATTGTAAGGTACAAAAAACTCATTTGCTGAAGTCACTTAATAAATATTTTAAATCAAGCACAGTAATGCATACCTGTAATCCCAGCTGAGGCAGGAGGATGGCAAATTCAAAGCCAGCCTCAACAATGATGAGATGTTTAGCAACTCAGTGAGACCCTGTCTCTAAATAAAAATACAAAATAGGGCTGGGGATGTGGCTCATTGTTTGGAGAGGCCCTGAGTTCAATCCCCGGTACCAAAAATAAATAAATAAATAAATAAATATTTTACAAGCCAGGCACAGTAGCACATTCCCGTAATCCCAGTGGCTTGGGAGGCCGAGGCAAGAAGATCATGAGTTCAAAGCCAGCCTCAGCAACTTAGTGAGGCACTAAGTAACTCAGTGAGACCCTGTCTCTAAATAAAATACAAAAAAAGGGCTGGGGATTTGGCTCAGAGGTTAAACGCCTCTGAGTTCAGTTCCTGGTACCAAAATATATATACATATATATTTTATAAACTTTGTCAGAGACAATAATTTTGTCTTATGGTGGACAGTGTCTCCATCTTAAGGTGATTTGGCAACAGAAGAGAGATAATGTCAAACTGAAGGCCTGGCATATCCTATCTCAGTTGTGCTTTTGTTTTGCTTTTTAGGTATTCCAAATGCTGCTAGAATTCTTGGAGCAAAATATTGCCAAGGTTTGGGAAATGCTTTCTTAGCAAAGTATGGCTATCCCACAGTAGTTGTATCTTGTCTGTAGTCTGGTGCTGTTGGATTAATATGCGAACCAAATCTGTTTAGTTACAAGTTTGTTTATTAACATCATACATAATGATTATCAAACTTGTGTTCTCTGGCATTTCTCTATGAAGAATTTTGCTCCCTGAGGAAATTATCCTGCCTTATACATTTTTTGTATGTCTCATACGTAGTCTCTGTATTAACTACTTTGTGCTAACATACCTACATATTGAGCTAAATTGAATTGATGTGTGTATATGTTTGATTTCTTTTACAAAGAAATGGATGGAATTTTTATTAACATATTTCTATTCAGAAGAATAAATCAAAATGAACACCAAATTCTAAGACTTAAAATTGAAATCTTTCACATTTGTATAGATAATAAAATTTTAGATTTTTTCCTCCTACTACTTAAGCAAAACTATTATGGAAAATTATTTGTATCCAGAGATTGGATATTAATGTTACCTACTATCTCCTTATACATGGTGGGCTTTTTTGTAAGAACATAGAAAATCTTTATGTACCTACAAACCATTTACATTTTCACTGCAAATGTTCTAATTGCCCATTTAATTTAAAAAGCCTACCAGAACATTTAATTCTGTCCTTTCCAGACTACTATTAAATGTTTATCAGAAATCTGCTGGGCACAGTGATGCACACCTGGAATCCCAGCAGCTTAGAAGGCTGAGGCAAGAGGATCACAAGGTTAAGGCCAGCCTTGGCAACTTAGGAAGAGCCTGTCTTAAATTAAAAAAAATGAAAAGGACTGGGGCTGTACCTCAGTGGAAAGGTGCTCCTGGGCTCAGGCCCTAGTACTGCTTGAAAAAAAAAAAAAGAGAGAGAGAAAGAAAAAGAAAATGTGTATCAGCAATCAGCTTTGCCTGTTCAGCACCTTAAGGACTAAAAGTGTCAGTGAACTTGGTAAACTGTGATTAGCTGTTTTAATTTGCAAATCTTAATCATAAATTTCCTGTGCCCTAGAAGAGATATTATATGGTTAAAATTATTAAAAGCAAAGCTTTAAAATTTTGTAGACCAAAATATAAGTAAATATGTGAGTGCATATGTGGAAATAGTAATTTCCATAAGGACTTGGTTTAGTACAACTTACAAAGAAATGTTTTTATAGTTTGTTACTGCCATCTACTGGTCCTCAACTTGTACTTCTAGCAACTGGTGTACTGTAATATATAGATATAAAAGGGAATTGGGTCTATTTATTTCATTGGAAATCCTTAAGAATATTATTTGTTGAAAGTAAGACATCAGAATTGTCATGTGGTCCATGTAGCATTAATTTGTAGCTTTTAGTGAACAAACTCAGCAGCCCGTCTCTGCTGTTAATGATATGCTATTTTTGTGAGTTTCTGATCAAACCTTTTTTTTTTTTTCTTTGTTCTTTTCCTAGTTTAATGGATCGAGAAGTGGCATTGCTTGCTGAAATGGACAAAGTGAAAGCTGAAGCAAGTAAGATGATTAATCTTTAATTAAAGCTGTTACCCACACAGGTATTCTTGCTTCCCAGCCCTCATAATAAAAGCTTGATATGAATGCCACAATAAGAGCTTATATATTGTGCTGGAGTTGTAGCTCAATGATAGAGCACTTACCTAGCACGTATGAGGTGCTGGGTTTGATCCTCAGCATCACATAAAAATAAATAAATAAAGGTATTGTGTCCATCTACAACTAAAAATACTTTTTTTTAAAAAAGAGCTTATATATGGGGCTGGGGATGTGGTTCAAGCGGTAGCGTGCTCGCCTGGCATGTGTGCGGCCCGGGTTCGATTTTCAGCACCACATACAAACAAAGATGTTGTGTCCGCCGAAAACTAAAAAATGAATATTAAAAACTTCTCACTCTCTCTCTCAATTCTTTCTCTCTCTCTCTCTCTCTCTCTCTCTCTCTCTCACTCACTCTCTCTTTAAAAAAAAAAGAGCTTATATATTTAATCATTCTTGAGTTGCTATGCTGTATTAGCATATAAATCCTTTCAAGATAAATAACTTTTCAAGAGTATATTTTAAAAATATTTTCAAATTTTAATATTTTCAGTGTGGAGTTCAGAGATTTCATCCTGTTATCTGCCATCAAAGAATCATTCTTAGGAAAATAAAGTACCTAGAAAGTGCCTGGGTTTTGTTTTATTTTGTTTTTACCTCCAGGGATTAAGCAATTCCACTGGAATATTTTTCTATTTGGAAAAAATTCTTATAATCAGAGACTTTACCAAATTGCATACAATTGAGTATATGAGTTCCTGTCATTGCCTGTCTCAGAACTTTGTTTTCTCAGTTTGTACAACATTTTTCACTCAATGTTTCTAATCAATGAGTAAAGGAAAGGCATTGAATTGAGAATAAAGATACCCATGACTAGGGTTCCTTATATAAATAGATTCTGGAGGAATATTCAAGCTTGGATAATCTGTGAGTTTTGTTTTGTTTTTTTTTAATGGAAGAATCAGACATCTGTTTTTCAGTCATTTCTGTCAAGTGTTAGGTTGAAAACATATAGGTATATGAAAAGAAGACACACCAACTACAACTTGGACAGTAGCATTGGCTTGGGTCTTTTCAGTGGTGAGTTTTACCTTCTTAAATCAAATGCTATATTTATAATTAGAAACATTGTTTCTTTTAAGACCCACCCTCATCAAACTGGTAAGTAGAAATACTAGGCTGGGTTGAGATGGTGGACTACAGCTAAATCATTTGTGCCTATGGTTATGAACAGAGAAGGCAGCTTGGAAGCATTGAGCCAAGTTCAATTTGGTCCATTTTAAGTTGAAGGTAGAGAATGTGGCAGAGATGCTGCCTACTGTTTGTCAGAGGTAAGATTGCATTTACACTGAGCAGTACATCTTGAAATTTCTTAATTTGACAGTTTCAGTCTCACATCTGAATATTGTTTTTGAAGATGAAGATTTGGAGAAACTAAAACTAATAAGACATAGTCCTTGCTCTTGATAAGTATGTCCTTTTAAATACATGTCCTTTTTGGAAACTTTCAGTCATTTCAAATATAGAGGCTAATATAATGAACCCCCATTGCCCAACTTCAACCAGTTGTCAACTCATGCCAATCTTATTTTGTCAAATTCAGAGCTATGGAATTTTACCTAACTTTATCAATCTGAATGTCTTTATCTCCTTTCTCCCTAAAAATGCTGTTCCTCAGGGACACAATGTAATAACTCCATTACCAATACTATCGAGAAGGTACTTCTTTATATGCTAAAGTTTTATTAAATAAACTCTTAATTCAGAGGATTTTTTTCATACATGTTCATATATGATCTCTACATCAACCTTTCAAGGAAGGATGTTTTTGTTTTCATTTCATGAATGAAGAAACTTATTCTTTGGGAGAAATTTGACTTGTCCAGCCTCATATAATTAAGTTCTCTCTAAGTTATCTTTTTTTAATTTTTTAAATTTATTTTATTTTATTTTTTTTAGTTGTAGATGAACAAAATACCTTTATTTTATTTATTTTTTATGTGGTGCTGAGGATCAAGCCCAGTGCCTCACATGTGCTAGGCAAGCGCTTGACCACTGAGCCACAACCCCTGCCCCTCTAAGTTGTCTTATATGTGTAGAAATCTTTACTCAAGACATTCTTCATTTTGCCCTTTACAATTGTGTAATAAAATCTGAGAAAGCTACAGATAGCTAAGAGAAACTGAAGTTGATAAGAATGGCAAATAGGTTTTATCTTGGGAGCTAAACCAATAGATCATTTGTAGCTGTTAGGCCTTGGTGTTAAGAAACTTGTAAGCGTGTTCCTAACTTATTGGGAAAGTATGTCCTTACTGATAGTAACCCGACATGGGTATGGGCAACCCATGTGTGGCATGTATGAGGCAGTTGGGCTAAGTAAACCTGCTAAAGACCTTTAGCTTTATATAATACCTGGTGGTGCTCTTTGAAAATTTCTGCTTTTTCTACCATAAATTTAGCTAATTTCTCAGTAGGGTATGGGATTCCTTGTATCAGTTCAGGATTGAGTTTAACAACATGCAATCGAGTGACTTTAATAAATGTGAATTTACTTTTCTGTCATGAATTGAGAAGATAAGAGTTAGCCAGTCAAGAACTGACAAGGCATCTCCAAGATGACATTAGGAACCCAGGTTTCTCTATCCTACTTAGCCATCCTTAGAGTATGTTTTTGATTGAAACATAACTCCTAAGACTTCAGTCAAGGAGGGGCAAAATGTGACATGCTAGAAAATTTCTTTAAAGACCTTTCTTGTAAACTCTGCCCTGTGAGTTCTGTTTAAACTATATAGTGCATGACCATCTCATCTGTAGCAAAGCCTTCTGATAAGTGTTTCCTAAGTACATCAGTGCCCAACAACATTGGACTTATGATAGGAAGAAAAGGAGAATGGGATAATCCAGTCAACTAAGTATTTGCCATGGTCTTCCCCTTCAGCTACCTAATGTCCTTCTTTTTTCTAAAGTGAGAACGTACCCACCTTCTTCTCAATGGCAGCACCTCCAGAGTCTCATCTAGTTTGTATATTCAGTTGAAAGCCAGGTCTTTTGAGTAATTTTAGGTCTTCCATGAGGTCTGGATGTGGCATGTTGTGGTCAGGTCCCATAAATTCAATTTGTAAATACTCCCTCCTCTAGAATTACATCGGTAGACAAGAGAAGAGGATAATTTATGGTAAAAATTCTCACTTGAGGGCTAGAGTTGTAGCTCAGTGGTACAGCACTTGCCTAGCATGTGTGAGGCCCTGGGTTCGATCCTCAGCACTATATAAACATAAATAAATAAAATAAAGGTATTGTGTCCATCTACAAAAAATATTTTTAAAAAATTCTCACTTGAAAAGCAAATGATCAAATATTGCTGGGTAGGAATATGGTCAGGTTCCTTAGGTAGTTTATCTGACAGTTCCTAGTTCTGCCTCCTGGAAGGATTTCTTGGCCCTGGCCCATTGTGCATGGGAGGTGTTTTGTTTTGTTCCATTCGTTTGGTTTTGGTTTTTGCACTGCTAGGGGTTGAAACGAGGGCCTTATGCATGCTAGGCAATTTCTGTACCACTATGCTTTATCTCCAGCTTGAGGGTTTTGGTTTTTTTTTTAATCATCTATTATTTGCCATGACCACATCTGAGTTCTGAATCAGGGAACATATTAAAATACCAAAGAAGGTCTTTTTTTAAAGGGGTATAGTAACAACCTGAATATTCATCATTAGAGAACATGGTAAATAATTGTGGTATATTCACATTGTATTACTGAATGAAGATGATACAGATATATGAATAGAGAATGAATAACAAGATATATTAAGTAAGGCTGACTAAGGTAAAGGGAGGATGGTGTGATGATAGACTGCCATTTTTGAGTAATGGGGAGAGGAAGAAAGGTGTGTGTTGTTTATACATAGACAATATTTGGAAATAATGCATAAGAAATTGTTAATATTTCCCTCTAGGGAGGGGACTACAAAATCAGAAATAGGAGGGATATTTTTATTTTTCATTGAATACCCATTTATTCTAGATGAATTTTTTACCAGGTATATGTATTTATCTTAATTTATATGCTTGATAATTTATTTTACTGAGAAAGGAAAAATGATTTATGAATCTTTGTGATTCATAAAAAAATGTTTATCCTTTAACTGCTTTCAAGACCCTCCCAGAAGGTAGAAACTGGACCGTTAGTATTTTCTTTTTCTGGATGGAAAAAGCTAAGCTCTTGGCTGTCCGAATACATATACTGAATGGCTTATATTTCTAGTTATTCTTTATCCTATTTAGCAGCAATCTGAGATTCATACTTTTTTCCTCTGCAGTGGAAATTTTGCTTAGCCGACAAAAGAAAGCTGAACTTCTAAAGAAGATGACTGATGTGGCTGTGCGAATGTCAGAGGAGCAATTGGTCGAGCTCAGAGCTGATATCAAAGTAAAACTTATTCTCCTCTCTGCCTTTCTTCTTATCCTCAGGAGGCTAAAGTAGCAAATCTCCATAATTCATGGTTATATCAAATATATCAAATGTATGATCTTCCCTTTCCATACCTGGCCCTCTTCCAGGTTCTCTTTCTCTGTAAATGGTACTATCACCTATCCAGTTGTCCAAGCTGGAAATCTTAGGAAATTTTGCCATTTCTCAAGTTAACTCTGTCAGCAGACCTTGTCCATTTTACCTCTTTTTTTAAGGGGGGTGGAGGAGTAGGGTGTACTGGGGATTGAACTCAGGTCCACTCGACCACTGAGCCAAATCTCCAGCCCTTTTGTATTTAGAGACAGGGTCTCACTGAGTTGCTTAGCACCTCACTTTTGCTGAGGCTGGCTTTGAACTCACAATCCTCCTGTCTCAGCCTTCTAAGCCGCTGGGATTATGGGTGTGCACCACCTCGCCCAGCCATTTTACCTTTTACTGAATCTAAGATCTGACCTTTTCTCTTCATCTCTACCACCAACATGATCAAGCTATCTTTTGTTGCTTGTACTTCTATAATACCTTCTTACCTGATTCTCCATCCATTTTACCTCTGCCCCCTCTGCCCTCCCTTCCTATCTATTCCTCAAAAAAATTAGTAGTCTGCTTTAGACTCTCCAGTAGTTTTAGGATAAATACAATAATCTCCCACCTAGTGTACAGGGTTCTGCATGGGCTGGCTCTCCCACCGTCCTTACTTCACAACAGGCCCCTGTCTTTTGTACTCCAACTGTACTATTTGGTTCTTTCCACAATTCTTCCTGCTCCCTCCTGCTAGAACACCACTGCATGTTTTCCATGTATCCAAAACATTCTTCTGTTCCCTCTGAGCACACAGGTCATTCTTAACCTACTCATCCTTCCTGGCTCCCCTGACTGCGCTATCCCTCTGTGCAGTTACATCTTTATGTGCATTTGATTAATCTGTCTTCCCTACCAGACTGTGAACTTTACAATGGCAGAAACTGCTATATCCCCAGTGCCTTGGCATATAGCAGGTCTTTAGTAAATAATGTTTTCTTGATCAGTTATGATTTTATAGAGAAAATTTGATAATTTGAGATGCTGATTATACTGTGATCTATAAAGATTACTGAGGTTCAATATTCATGCCTTTTAAATTCTTATATACAGAACAGTATTTCTGTGACTAAGCATGTGAGCCCAAGAAAAGTTGGAATATTCGTGGATAGTTGTGGACACTGGTGTTCTACACAATTGTTTATAAGTGGCTAGCTGTATGAATAAGGAGAGTTGGCCTTTTCTACTCCTGAGCCCATAGCCACCACTGTTTGTGAACACATGAGCTTCATTGCCATTTTTGAGAGAAATACTTGCTACAGAGGCTTGCAACAGCCTTTATAAAATAAAAACATAGGTGGAAGATCATCTAGGACCTTTTAGGAATCCTTGTTATCATTTTGATCCAGTGATTCACACAAACTTACAGAATGTGACTGTTCTCACTCCTTTCCCTTAAAAAATCAACTAGGGTGAGCTGGGCATGGTGACCCATGTCTGTAATCCAAGCAGCTCTGGAGGCTGAGGCAAGAGGATTTCAAACTCAAAGCCAGTCTCAGCAAAAGTGAGGTGCTAAGCAACTCAGTGACAGACTATTTCTAAATAAAATACAAAAAAGGCTGGGGATGTGGCTTAGTGGTTGAATGCCCCTGAGTCCCCAGTAGCCCCCACAAAAAAAGAAAAAGAAAAAAAAAAAAAAACTAGGGTGAAATAGCCAGATAAAGCAAATTTTAAAATTACTATTTCTCTCTTAACTAAAATTATATTACAAAATTTTATAGAATGTCTTCCTCACATTTATGCCAGTCAGTCTCATTCAACTATCTATGAGAAACCGGAAACCTCTTTGGAATTAGATGAGAAATCTGGCTACATCTGTTCCCCTTCCCACGTGGCTGAAAAGCTGCTAGAAATATTACTGCAGGCTGACTAAGGATCTGTTTCTCTCCACATTTTCAGTGTGCTGAAGTGGGTGCTGTGCAATTTAAATGTCTTATTTCCAGATCATTTTATTTCTGTCATTCCCATTATGTATTTGGCTCAACAAACCCTAGAATATGTTTCAGAATTAATCTCAGACTGATATTACTTTTCTGAAGTTCTCTTACAAGAGGTTCATGTGGGGCTGGGGATGTAGCTCAGCGGGAGAGCTTGGTTCAAGTTTATATGCACAGTATACTCAAAAATCTTTAGGACTTCAAGACCCAAAGGTAATTTTTCTCTCTCCTTTCCCTATCAGTGTTTCTGGATGCATCCCAAGGATTCTGATGCATTTTGGATGTGGGAGTAGGCCTCCCTCAGTTAAGAAGTACACTGCTTTGCTATGAGGCTTTCAGTTCTTCCAGATTATATCTAGGCCCTTAATTTTTCTTTCTCATGTTGTTTTCATCTGAAAAAAAAAAAAAAATGATTCTAGGCTACCTTAGACATTTTTTTTTAATCGAAATAGATCCCTAGAAGCACTTTATTCTTGACATTCTTGACATGTTTCTAGATAATTTCTATGGTATAGTTAGTTTTTGACCCAAGGGGTTAGTTACTTCTCAGCTCAGTCCACTTAAAAGTATTAAATAACTTGCAGTATAAACTTTTCTTGTTTGCAAAGTTGACTTTTCACATGAATGATTTTCAGTCTCAAGAAATTGTTCCTTTTTCAAGAACTGTGAAATCTTATGTTATAAAAAGGTGAAGTGGGTTTCCTAAGGAAGTTCCTTTTAAAGAACACCAAAACATCTAAATGGGATTTTTTGTTGTAGTTTATGAATATTTTTGCTGCCTCTGTTTCTATATTAAATAGAACAATATGGAAAATAGCCCCAATAGTGGAAAGATGGTCCTCCACTATAAATTCTTTCTCCTTTTTCCTTTCCTAAGGTTTCTTTTGATTGTACCTGCTGGGTTTTGAACATCATGCAGCATTTCTTTCTTTCTTTTAATAGTGGTACTGGGAATTGAACCTAAGGGCTCTCTACCACTGAACTACATTTTGAGCTATTTATTTTGAGACAGGGTTTCACTAAGTTGCTCATGTTGGCCTCAAATGTGTGATCCTCGTGCCTCACCTCCTGAGTAGCTGGAATTAGAGGCATGCACCATTCTATAGCTTTTCATAAAACTCCCAAACTTTGAGCCCTTGTGAAATGAGTGGATTTGTGAAATGAGTGGATTCAGCACTGGTAATATGATAGCCATTTAGTAAACTTAGAAGTTAAAAAGAAGAAAATTGAAAATAATTCTGTTCCACCTGTGTGTAGCAAGCTATAAGTTCAATTTTTTAATGTTTGTCTAACTTGGAGGCTTTTCTTTGTCCTTTCTCCAGCACTTTGTTAGTGAACGTAAATATGACGAGGATCTGGGACGAGTAGCCCGATTCACCTGTGATGTAGAGACTTTAAAGAAGAGCATTGATTCCTTTGGACAAGGTGAGATGGTGAAAGATTCTAAGAGGTAGAGGTAGTGTCCTTTCTATCCTTTACCTCTTAGGCTCTTTTTTTTTTTTTTTATGCAGTAATGAGGGTTTATCTCAGGGCCTCACATATGCTAGGCTAGCACTCTACCACTGAGATACATCCCCAGACCTTTTTATTTTATTTTGAGACAGATCTCACTAATTGCTTAGACTGGCTTTGAATTTGTGATCCTCCTACCCTGGCCTCCCAAGTAACTGGGATTACAGATATGAACCATCACACCTGGGTGACTTATCTTTTCTTGGCATGCTAACTAGCTTCTCCACTGAGTCTTCCTCAGTGCCTCTTGTATGTTTAATTTTGTGAAAAGTAATCATGGGAATATTTATGAAGTCTGTGGATGCAGATACTTGAAACTCTGAAGATGATTATTTACTAGGTCCCTAAGAATAAATACACTTTTTCTCTGGTTACATACCTGTAATCCCAGTGCCTCCAGAGGCTGAGGCAGAATGATCACAAGTTCAAAGCAAGAGTTAACAACTTAGCGAGGCCCTAAGCAACTTAGCAAGACCCTGTCTCAAAATAAAAAGGGTTGGGTCTGTGGCTCAGTGGTAGAAGTAGAGCACTTGCCTAGCATGTGCGAGGCACTGGGTTTGATTCTCAGCACTGCATATAAATAAAATAAAAAGTTCATCAACAAGTAAAATAATATTTTAAAAATAAAATAAAACAAAATGCTTTTTCACTATTTTCTGCTGAGTTGAGAGGTGTAAAATACATAGTGTAAAAGAATATGGGGCTCTGGAGTCAGACCAAGTTTGAATCTTTGCCTCAAAGCTGATATCTTGGATTTTTTACTCCTCAAATAGAGATGATAATAATTGTAATACCAGCCTTCCCTGGCATATAATAGATCCTTAAATATTATCCTTAAGGTGGGGGAGGGTGCAGTGTCTGTGAATGAAAGTTTGTAGTGACAAATTGGTTAGACCCTCTGTTCTGTCTCAGTATAAAAGTGAAATGTGGCTGGAAGTATAGCTCTATGATAGAGTACCTACCTAGCATGTATGAGGCCCTGGATTATTTCACCCCAAAAAAGTGAAATATTGTCCTTAGGGTAGTGGTTGTTAACTAATCATTAGTTTAAAAAAAACTAAGAAAAAAAATCTGGGGAGTGGTGGTTTTTGGGTTTTTTGTTTGTTTGTTTGGGTGGTGGGGGGCTCTGGGGGCTGAACACTTTACTACTGAGCTACATCCCCACATCCCCAGTTCTTTTGATTTTGAGACAGGGTCTCACTAAGTTGCTAAGGCTGGGAGATAGTTTTAAACCATTGAATTCTTAACAAAATTTGAATTAAAAATATTAATATTTTTCAGTTAGATTGCATTTTGGATTGGGGGTTATTTTTGCAAAAAGAAATTTGGCAAGATACATGTTTGTGGTAAAGACTAGTTCTATTCATATTTAACTGATCTTGATTATTTTTACCTTGCATCATTCATATTTTTTTGAAGGATTTAGAAAAAAATTGATTTGTTTACCTTTCTCTTTCTTTGTAAAGTGTGTACTTTAGAATGTTCCTTGCATAGGAAACTGAACATATGGCCCATACTATTGTTCCCAGGCTTAGTCAGCTTCTGGGAGGCACAGCCAGGAGTTTAGGTAGTAGGAAATGCCAGGAAGTCATTACTCAGTAGGAAGCATTGGTAACTTGATCTTAAAACTGTTTTCCCTATCTCTAAGAATTCATTTACCCCAAGCAGTGAGGATTTGGAAGGAGGGAAGAATGAAAGCAAAGGGAGGTGTTTCTTCCTGTTATCCATTTTATTGGTTTTTCTTTATGCTATTCTAGTGGATAGTTCCTTATGTTAAATTGTTCATTTTGAAATGGAGAAACAGGGGAAGTATTATTATTCCTTATGCTTTTCCATCATATGACCACATGTTCCTCATATTTCTGTTTCAGTGTCCCATCCAAAGAATAGCTACTCAAACAGATCACGATGTAGCTCAGTTATAGCTGTGTCCTTGAGTGGCCCAAGTGATGCCTCTGCTGCTTCCTCTTCCACCTGTGCCTCTGTTCCCAGCCTTACAGGTGCTAACAAGAGAAATTCGGCACCAGGAGAGACTCCTACAGCCAACAGCAGCCGACCCTACCAGCCTCATCGGGAGGTAACCTAGCTTCCACACTGAGAATGGGAAAGAGCAAAGGCGTCCAAGTTTTGAATTTTTAAGTGCTGATATAGCTCAATATACTAACTTCCTCTCTCTATTCCCATTCCATACTGATTTTTCTTCCCTCTAGTACCAGTTAGTTCCTGAGAAAGTATTTGACAGGTATTTCAAACTATCAGCTAGTAACTTCCTGTTACCAAGAATTTCTGACTTTCTTATGTTGGCAGTGATCCTCACCCCTTAGGTAGTATAGCCTGGTAATTAGTCATACTGGAAGTCATGTACCATCTCAAGACAGACCAGCACTGCAAGTGTAGGTTCTCCAGCATGTATCTGAAAGCAACAACTCACTAGAAACTCAGTATAAATGTATCAGGGGAAGAGAAAGTGAACCTACTAGGGATGAGGAATGAGCACATTAGTGGAAGAGTAAAGCCAAATGCAATGGCGCAGGCATATAGTCTCAGTGACTCTAGAGGCTGAGGCAGGAGAATCGCAACTTCAAAGCCAGCCTCAGCAACTTAGCCAGACCTGTTCTAAAATAAAAAATAAGAATGACTGGGGCCGTATGGTTAAATGTTCCTGGTTTCAATCCCCAGTACCAAAAAAAAAAAAAAAAAAGGAAGAGTGGAAGAGTAAACCATACTTTCTTTTCCTTAGTTTGAAGGAGAAACAAAAGAATAATCTAAGACAAAGCTGTCAATACATTGTTCAGAAGTGATTTAACATTGAAATTGGAAGACAAAAAAAGAAATCCCTCAGGGCATAAGCTTTTTGGTCTACTGCAATATGGTTTAATCCTGGTTTGCAACATTGACCATAATGGTGCTAATTTTATTATTCCAATTGTTCCTTATCTTAAATGGCCTAAAATCTACAGAATTCAGATGCCCAATTAAGAGCTTGTAACAACCCAAAGAATTCTCTTCCATGTTAGCTTTCTTCCTGAAAAGTGAGGTAAACTACTCTTCAGTGAAGAGTCTATAAGTGAAAAGCAGGAGACAATGGTGGAAGATGTATTGTAATATAGTAGCTAGGTCAGATTGGCTGACAGAATTCTGAGTCCCAAACATGATATACCTCAAGTATGGTTTTTAGATTACTCCTGTGAACTAAACTAGAACAAATGGTGTATCATAATGCCAGAGTACCTTGAACATTGTATTCTTTTATCCTTAGGTGTTGCCGGGGAACAGACGAGGAGGACAGGGATTCAGGCCTCAAGGCCAAAAGTCCAGTGACCCCACGAGCCAAGGGCGACATGACAGTATGGGTCGTTACAGAAATAGCTCCTGGTATTCATCTGGTTCTAAGTATCAGAGTGCTGCACCCCAGGCACCTGGAAACACTAGTGAGTGGGGCCAGGCTCACTCTACAGGGACCAATGGAACTGGAGCCAGCATGGAGCCTTGTCCATCCAAGCCCTCATTCAAAAAGGGGCTCCCCCAGCGCAAACCCAGGACCTCTCAGCCTGAAGCTATGAACTCTTGAGAGAAATTCCAGTTGACCTTTCTTCTGTATGCCACTTAATTCAATCTGATAACTGGACTTTAGAAAACTTATAGTTAGATTTAATAACAAAAAGAAGTTTATGCATATCACTTTGTGCCATTCTAAATATTTTTTTGTTTCTTCTCTCCTTATTTCCTCTTTATCATTTTTGGAGGGGAAACTGTTTTTTCCTCTACCTTTCCCAGTGATATGGACTGATTTTGATTAGTCATTTCCACCAGGAATCAGGGGCAACTATTTCCACGCTTCCCAAGGGTAAGCAACATTCTTCCCACTACACCAAGTCTTCCAACTGCCTGAAGAGGCCTTGTTCAGCAAGTCCCCATTGTTGAGGCTATCTCAGGAGGAAGTGGGTCAGAGCTAGTCCTGTCACCATTTCAGTCTAAGCAGAAGCCACAGGTGCCTGCCAAGTTCCCTCCAAATAACAATTTGACCAGAAGAGGCAATTGAGGGGATTGTATACCACACTGGATTAGCCAGAAAAGGGAAATGTTAATTGGTAAAAAGGAGAGAACACCAGGAAACATTTGAGAATCTGCCTCTATCTCAGAATGTGCCTGAGATTTGACACTTGAATTAGGGTTTCAGTCCCTTGCTTGGCACCGTAGCTTAACTGCAATTTCTTCAAAATGCCCAAAGCCTTGTTTCTTGTTACCTTAAGCTGTACCTTAGACTGCAAACCAGTCTAAGGAAGTCTGTGAAAGTAGCATTTAATTAAAGTCTTTTTTAAGTTTAAAAAAAAAAATTGTTTCAATGTTTGAGGATTTTTTAAATTGATGTTCTCCCCCTTTGCTGAATCCTGTTCTGATCTTGAACCAAATTTATAGCAATATAATTGGTATTAATCTAAGGTACCCAGAAAAAAATTGCCACAGTAAATCTTTATAGATAAATAAATAAAAATAGCTGCATAAATGTTCCCACATTTGTTTCATAGCAGCAAGAGACTTCATTTCAGTATCTGTTTTTCTTTGGGCTTCATGGGGTAGAAGTCACTTGGACAGCTTATTCTGTGCTTAAATGAGGGGGTCTGATTCCTAAGTCATTTGTCCACTGCTGCTTAGCTTTAGGATCAGATTAAAATATGAAAGCCAGGATAAGCAAATGCAGCTGTTCCTTATGAGAAAGGATCCATAGGATAGAGAAGGAGTGCTTAGCAGGTTAGAATAACCACAGCTGCCAGCCACTCTCTCAGGCAACCAAAGGTTATATTGGCACCGTTTTCCCTGCCTCCCTGTCCCTGGATAGGGGTAGTGAATTTAACTGTATAATTGAGCTTCTACATATAGCAAGTAGCTAGTGCTGGACCTCTCCTATCCACCCCACTCCCAGCATCTATGATTTAATAAGAGTTTTCCTTCCTCCAACATGTGTCTCCTGAGCCCAGGTTGTGGCAGTGATGCAGAACTTAGCTGCCTCAGGGCCTCCCATGGCTCCTTGGTTGAAGCTGAGCCTCCAAGGTTCAGGTTGGTTGAACAGATTGAAAAAGAATGCCTGTGTGTGTGTGAGTGGGTGTGTCTTTGGGTAAAGAAAACAGTAGTCAAGGAATACTGGGGAAACCGTTTCTAAGGGACTGATCACCTCATTTTGGAGACTTTATCTAACACCATCAGCCTGCTAGGTGTCAGGAAAAAGCCCTGCTTTCCTGATTAATTACTTGCCTATACTATATAATAAATCCAGAGATTGAGATAACCTTGAAAGATTAAGAGACCTATCCCTATATCCAGGCAAGACTGCATTTAACCACTCTGACAAATGGGAAGCAACATGTTTGTCAAAACTGCCTTGAAATTGAAATTTAAATTTCCTTATAAAAATTTTTGAAGGTTTTTTAAAAATATATTTTTAGTTGTAGTTGGACACAATACCTTTATTTTATTTATTTTTATGTGGTGCTGAGGATCAAACCCAGCACCTCCCATGTGCTAGGCAAGCGCTCTACCACTGAGCCCCAACCCCAGCCCCATGAAGATTATTAATGACCATAAAAATTTTGAAAATAACGAAAGTTCTTTTTATTGTTTTGTTTTGAATTACAAAGGTATTATTTAAAATAATAAATAAAGCCAGGAATGTTGGTGCACTCTGATAATCCCAGCACCTTCTGTGGCTGAGGAGGATCCCAAGTTTGAGGCCAGCCTCAGTAATTTAGCAAGGGCTGGGCTTGTAGCTCAGAGGTAGAGTAACACTGGGAATAATCCATAGAACTACAAAAAAAAAAAAAAGTGTGTGTGTGTGTGTGTTTGAAGTGCTGGGGATTGAACCAGGACTTATTTTTTTTTAAATAATATATCTAAACCATAATTCATTGAGTATCTCCTGAACATATTCTAAATTTTCTAATTTGTCTTTTCTTCAGTGAAGAGAAGTTAAGGTTATCTTAAGTTTGATTTGTGTTGTTCATAATAGTTCTGGGTTTCCTAAGAGAAGGAAAGTTTCATACCCTGGGTAGCTACTACTAATCCTCAAAGAGGTTGTATCTGTCATTTTTCCTTCCCCTTACAGGCATATGTCTTCCCTTACAGGCACATGTCTTGCCATCTCCAACTTAGAGATAGGACTGGGGCTTCAAGTTGTTTAGCCATCAGTTATGTGTCATTTGATAGGTAAAATTTAAATACCATGACTTGGCTGGGTATGTAGCTCAGTAGTAGAGCACTTGCCTAGTATGCCTAAGGTTTAATTCCCACCACTGCAAAAGAAAATTAATAATAATTACCATTTACTTCATTATGAACATCAAATATTTTCTGGACCCCTAATCTATAGCCATTTTTAAAAATGTGCCTTTTAAAATAGTAACACAAGCTGGGCACTGTGGCACATTGCTTTAATCCCATCATTTTGGGAGGCTGAGGCAGGAGGATTCCAAGTTTAAGACCAACTTCAGCAACATAGACCCTGACTCAAAAGGGCTAGAAATGTAACTCAGTATTAGAGCATCCCTGTGCCACAAAACAAAACAGTACCATGAAAATACAAAAGTAAAAATAAAACAGTAATACAAACTAGTTAAAAAGAAATACTGGTTGAAAGTGTAGCTTAGTGGTAGAGCACTCGACTAGCAGTCCCTACATTCTATCTCCACGCCCCCAAAAAAGGATACATGGTTGAAAGTAAAAAGTGATCGCCTATCTTGCCCCATTCCCCAAAAGAAATCATTGGGAAGTTTCTTACATATTGTTCCAGAGATTTTTTTAAACCCAAATGTTTTTCTTTTATATAAATGGGAATCATTCATATATTTACACAACTTGCTTTTAAAAATTTCCTTGCTTTTCATAACCTAATTATTTTTTCCTTTAAGAAAAAACATTATTTGTAAATGGTTATAAAGAAATGAAATTAAGCTGGGGTTGTGGCTCAGAGGGAGAGCACTTGCCTACCATGAGTGAGGCACTGGGTTCGATCCTCAGCACCACATAAAAATAAAAATGAAGATATTGTGTCCACCTATAACTAAAACATAAATATTTTTTTAAAAAGAAGAAATGAAATCTAAACAGTTCAAAAGTATAGATAATAAAAAGTAAGCTTCCCTGCCATTCTGGATTGTTTGTACCCTCCCCCAGAGGCAACCACTATTTAATTTCTTATATATTCTTCTGGATATATATATTTCATAAGAATATATACTACTTAAGGGCTGAGGTTGTGGCTCAATGGTAGAGTGCTCACCTAGCACACTAGAGGCCCTGGGTTTGATCCTCAGCACCACATAGAAATGAAATAAAGATATTGTGTCCACCTAAAACTAAAAAATAAACATTAAAATAAAGAATATATACTATTTAAACCTCTTTCCACTGGTATTTATAAACATATATCTTGTTATTTCTTATGACTGCATAGTATTCTACTGTATAAATATAATTAGTTTAACTGGTCCCTAATGATGGTATTCTGGTTTTTGCTATTACAAGTATTTTTGAATGAACATTCCATAATACATATATTATTCCTTGTGTGTGAGAGTGTATATGTAGAGTAAATTCCTAGCAGTGGAGTTGTGGGGCTGTGTAATTGATAAAGTACTCTTCATTATTGATCAAGTGGCAGAGGTTTACACTCTTACCACAAGTATGTGGGAGTACTTTGCACAGTTGTTGAGGTGGAAGCTAAGGAGAAATAGAGATAACTGAAACATAGTCCCAGACTCAAGTGGCTGATAAACTAGTTGAGATAGGTACTAGGGATGTGGCTCAGTGATGGAGAGCACTTGTCTAGCATGTGTAAGGTCCTGGGCTTAATCCCCAACACTGCAAAAAAAAAAAAAAAAAAAAAGCAAAAGCAAAAGGAATGATAGATTTGTGTGACAAAGACATACTAGATGAGTGTTGCATGAACACCCTGCTGTTATCTTGTGTAAGGTGGGAGCATTACCAGCAGAACCTAAGCTACAATATACTAGCAGGTGCTTCCAGGCCAGCTTCAGTCTTACAAGTATGGAGTATTTCTGAGGGGAATAGGAGAAATTATGGAAAATCTGTGGTATGGTGTCATCCATCTGTGAACTAACCTATGTTCTTGAAAAAGCTCAGTAGAACTTTTGCCCCTGGAGATCCTGCCACTGGACCTAACAAATGAGGGTTTTGATTTATAGGACTCATTCCACATGGTAAGAATTTTATCAATACAGCAACATGCATTTTGGAAGAAGGAACAGGTGTCTAAAACAATACCTGTTACATAAGTAACTGAGACTTCATGTAACAAGGAATTACTTTATCACCATTTTAACCAGAGTATTGACCCTCAGTGCTGGCAGCCAGAGAAACATACGATAAAATTAATCAAAGTTTTAGTTGTTGCAGCTACTTAGGAACATTTTTTCTTTTCAACATTGAAGCACTTACTGTGTGTAAGGCTCTCTGCTGAGTTCTGAGGCCAAGATAAATGGTTCTAGCCCTTTCTTAACTATGGAAGCCCTGCCTGGTAGCCAGGCAGTGTGGTAGAGTAGAAAGACCTTGGACTTGGACTTTAATTCTGTTTTGTAGTTTGGAAGTGTGACTGGATGACCTTGGGCATGTAATGTAACATCTTTGAACCTGTTACTAAACTATAAAGTGAAGACCATGCAACTATTTTAAGAGTATAGCTACATAGTACCCTCAGTGTATAAGCTAGCCTGTGATAAGTATCCACTTGCCTCTGCTTGCTTGTGTCTCTTCTGCCCTTTAAAAGCATGTGATAGGTTTCCCCTATATCAAGCCCTTCATTAATCAAAAAGAAGAAATCAGACACATGGTTATACTCTTCTACCTGGCTTTTCTCTCAGAGTGTGTATTCCTTCAGCATGGTGGGCCTTGTGCCCCTCTTGTCTAAGCCCTGTCAGGAAAGTAACCCTTACCCAGTTTCAGAGCTGCGTGGGTGAAGCAGGCTGGGTGCTAATGGAACAAGCTACCTCAGTAAACACTCTTGCCTGCTGCAGCCACACTCCCAGGAAAGCCAAGAAACATTATTTCCATACAGGTGATGAGGGAATTTTATTATGGGCCTTGATACTCTATACCGAGGAACACCTATCTAAAGATGTTTCTGGGTTAGGAAACTACCCACCATCACCAGCACAACTGTTCTGCCTGCCCACCCGCCCCTTCACTGCCGTCAAAACAGCAGGAACAAATACCACCCACTCCTGATTCCTCAAGGAAAAGGCAGGTCTCTTTTTATGTCTCTTCAACTTAACCTAGTTAAGCTTTCTCTATAACTTGATTTTAAACCCATTTACTGGTGCTGTGAGAACACATGGCTTGAGACAATGAGGAGATTACTTAGATCAGGCAGGCCCTCCCTCTCTGGCTCCTGCTTTCACTGTGGTGCTGCAGTCAAGGGCAGTGTCTCCTGTGCAATATGAAGTCCAGGTTGCTATTCGCAGAGTGCTCACTATAGATCACTATCTTGAGTACCCATCAAAATAAGCATTCTGTTCCCTTTTAATAGACTGTT